CCATTGACTACCTACCTGGCCACCCCAACCCACCCCGAAGACCCGAATTTCGGGTTGGGGGGGGTAACGGGTTTCATGCGTGTTCTCTCCATGTTCCCCGCCCCCCCCACACTGGAAACGGAGGGCAGATCGGGGCCTTCGGGTTGGATTGGGGTAGTTTGGTGGGCGGTGAATCACGCCTGCGGCTCAGAGGCGTCACCCTGGAAGGGGAGCAGGTGCCCGGGCCTGGGCCCGGCAGGGAGCCACGGGAGGAGCACGCAGGAAGCGCCCCTGCCCTCGACTTGCCCTGGCCTCCTTGCTCCATCCTCGGGCGCTGCTGGAGGTGCCCCCTTGGCCCAGTGTGCCCCCAGGACCTTCAGGGAGGCCCTCACGGCCTTCGGAGCAGCCCTCACGAGGCCGAGAGGGGCCCGCAGGGCTCGAAAAGGGAAGGGGACGAGCTGGGGGGCACCTTGGGCCAGGGGCACCTTCCGCACAGCCCCCGACGCCCCTCCTCCGACCCCGCGGCTCCCCAGACCTGCTCCTCCAGGGGCGCGCCCCGACCAGCACACCTCGAGGCGAGCCCCGCCGTGGCGCCGAGGGCACCGCGGGGCAGCGTCGTGTCGAGTCGGCCCCGGCGACGGCTCCGGACACCGCGGAGGTCCTTCAGCGTTGCACGGTCGGCCGTTCCCCAAACGTCAGATCTAAAGGGAAATTAGGACACACAAATAAATACACACAAATAAAATAATCCCCCATATTTTCTCATATTTTCGGGGTTTGTGTCTTCCCCACCACTTCCCATATTTTTGCATATTTTCCTGGGAGTCGACGATTAATTGTGTCTGTGTGTTTCTTTCCCTCCTGAACAACGTCGAAGGCCGGCGGCGGGATCGCCGCCGGTCGGCACGACGCGAGCCTGCCGCACAGGAAGGAGCTCGACCACAAGAAACCTTCCACGAGGAGCCCAGCCCTGAGGCAACCAGGACGTGCATCGATTTCTGGTGTGGGGAAGGCAGGCTTTCCACGGCAGAACCATCGAAACCAAAGAAACCCAGAGCACCCTGGTGGCAAGCAGGGTGTCTCTTGGCATGGGCTTCCACTGTGCTCCCCGTCCAGGGGTGCGCTCTGACCAGCAGCTCGAAGCGAACCCAGCCGTGGCTGCGAGGGGAGGGCACCAGCATCGGTACCCTGAGCTCCTCTGAGCTCCTGGCGGGCGGGCGCCGCTCCCCCATCCGTCGGTCCCCTGCCCTGGCCCCGACCCCGGCCCACCTAGGGCGATATCCAGCGCCGACTGGGGGGCGCCGTCCTGCGTGCCAGCAGCCTGCTGCCCCTGCCGCGTCTGGACCGAGGTGCAACGTGAGGGAGGGGGGACCAGCTCAAGGGGCATGTTGCTCCCACCGTACTTGAGGCTTGAGGGCCACATCCCAGAAATAACTTCGAGCACCCGTCGTCGTCATCGTCTTCGTCATCATCATCTTCATCATCATCCTGATCATCATCTTGCGGAGCGCCCCGGATCGGCGGCACTGGCCGGAGGCCACTACAATAATCCCACCAGCCCTCTGGGCGTCGGTGGTTTAGAGCGTTTCCTCTTCCACCCCTCCTTCTTCCCCTTCGGGGAGGGGTTTACCCCTCCCCCTACCCCCTCCCCACTGACCTGGACAGGGGGGGCCGCGGGTAGTTAGAGCGCCCAAGATCGACCCCTGGAAGGGCTAAAATTCGACACCCCTCACGAGGATCGTGGCTCCTGATGGGGGGGACTGTAATTAGGGAACCCCCCTTCGTCGATCGATCTCCTCCAAGCCCCCAAGAGGCCCCCAGGAGGCCCCCAAGAGACCCCCAAGAGGCCCCAAGAGACCCCCCCAAGGCACCCAAGAAGCGCCCAGGAGGCCCCAAGAAGCGCCCAGGAGGCCCCCAAAGGCCCCCAGATGGCCCCAAGAGGCCCCAAGAGACCCCCAGGAGGCCCCAAAGAGGATCCCGAACGGCCCAGAGGCCCCCCCGAGGCATCCAAGGCGCCGAAAAGCCCCTCAGGACGACCCTCTACTCGCCTGGGCGTCGTTTCTGGACGGGCTGGTGGGGATACTTCTGTATATATATATACACACACATACATATATACATATATAAATTTTATATATATATATATATATATATATATATATAGATATATATATATATATATATATATTCAATAAAAATTCAAAAAATGAAGATATAATATCCCATTGTAGATCGATGATCTCTCAAGAAGCGCACAAGCTTCCTCGGGCCAAAATGGCCTGCGGGTCATGATCCCTATCGAGATGCTTCTCGTGAGCCTACCCTGCACTCTGCAACAGACAGGCACTCCCTGAACCTAGCTCACACCACTACTCCTGCAACACCGTGCTAGTCCACACCCGATCGGGAATTAAACACTCCTCCTCTCGGCCAGGACTTGGGTTGAGCCGGGGACTGGTCGAGCAAAACCAAACTCGAAAGACGAAACATGACAATAGCCCCGGGCTCGGTCTTTCCCAGGCACGGGCACTCTGAAACAATCATTTTCAGATCTCTGAAACAGTCCTGCACAACGAAGGCGTTGCCTCGCTGAAAGAATTCAACTCGCAAGTTTCCTCAGTGCTCGCACCGAGAAGCCTACCCCTCGGTAGTGGAGCGCGGCGATCCTGGTCACCTCGATGAGAAAAGAACCCCGCGGATTGACATGTCTGTCAAGCAGAACTCCGCTCACCGGCTTGGTCGCCAAGTCCGCCAGGTTCTTCGAAGTGTGAACCTTCTGCACCTTCAGGTCCCGGTCTTGAACCCGCTCTTGGACCCAAAGGAACCTCGTCTGGATGTGCTTGGTCCTCTGCCCAACTCCCAGACGATCTGCCAGGCTCCCTGCGGTGGTGCTGTCACTCAGCACCAGAGCCTCCATGTGGTCGCCGAAGTCCTCGTAGATGGCCTTCAGCATCAACGCAACCGCACCTCCATTGACCACCGCGTAGAACTCCGCCTCCCCGACGCTCAGGGAGGTGAGGCTCTGCAGTGTACTGCTGCCCTTGATCACGTGCGATCCCACCATGGCCACCAGTCCTGTCGTTGACTTCCTGGTGATGGGATCTCCTGCGAAATCACTGTCCACGTACACCTCGATCTTGCTCACCGGCGCCTGCATCGGTACCGGATCGAAGCTCCCGGTCTGCCTGCCAAATAACGAGCAACCCTCTTCAACGGCTGCCAGTCGAACTCGGTCGGCCCAGCCATCCGCTGCGCCGAAGTCTTCGCACTCTCCACCAAGTCCAGCCTGTCCTGCGCCAAGTAGCTTAGCCTCATGCACACCGACCGGTAACGAGTAGTCTCACTCGCGATCAGCTTCTTGCCCTTGATCCCCTCGAGAATCGTCGTGTCCTTGAGCTTCTCCCTCGGCGTGCTGACCGACTTGGTGGCCTCCGTGCAACCAGTCTCTGCCAAGATCATCTTCGCGTGCCTCGGGTCGGGCTCGATCTCGATGTACTCGCCCCTGGTGTCCTTGCCTCTCCTCACGATCCTGTTGAGCAACTGCAAGCTCTCGTAGTCGCCCTCATCGAAGCCCAGGGTGCCCATCATCTTGCTCGGGTACTTCGGAGACAACAGCCTGTCGACGTGCTCCAGTCCATCTACGTCCGACAACACTACGAAGTCGCCCCCATGGACTGCCATGCGGATGTCACCCGCCGGGTTGAAAAACAAGGCTGCATTGTGCTTGCCCCTCTTGAAGCCACCTTCACTCGAGGGGCACAAGTCCACGTAGTCCAACTGCCAAAGATGCGAAGCATCCTGGGTGCCGTACATCGACTTCACCAATCGCCCCAGCATCTTCTCGCCATAGCGTGGACGATCCTCGGCTGGAAGCTCAACGTAGACCAACCTTTGCGCCTTGCCCATGAAGTGCGCCCTGGAGATGTCATAGTGCCTTAACTTCAAGCGCTTGCCTGACTTGGCAACACCTCCAATCATCATCCTGGACACGAGTACCTTCACGGCCTCCAGCGGCGGCATCGCAGAGAACAGCTGCGCCGCCGGTAGTGCCCCCTGAACCTTGCCGTCCTTCTTCGTCTTGAACTCCCTCACGCACAGCCTGGACCTGATCTTCTGCTCATTCGGATCCATGGACTTGTCCGTGTCCACCCACAGGACGTCAAGTGGTCGTACTCCTGCGTCTCGAGCCTCCTGCTCCGGAACAATGTCGTAGACCCCTTCGCCGTGGATCCAGCTGATCCCCCCCTGGCGCGCCGCCAGAACCTTATCTGTCGGAAGAAACCCGCCGTTGACATCATCCCAGAAGCCTCCACCACTCTCGAGCATCTCCTTGTACTCCGTCGGCATCTCGGGAACCGGCCCCGCGATCTCCTCCACTGCGTTGAGCCCCCCATCCTTCTTCAGCTGCCTCCGAAGCGCCCTCAACGCAGCACTGACGAACCTCGGAGGGCACTTCGCCGCAAAGTGCGCCACTCCGCCCTTGAGCTCGGTGCGCCGATGAAGATCGCCCCCAACCAGATTGGAGCACTTGCCATTCAGCTCGTGCCAGATCTCCTCACTGTTGGTGACGAAGCCGCTCTCCTTCCGCACGTACTCGGGGACGCCATCACTCTCGTCCCGGTACTTCTCCGGCAACTGCAGCCCGCACCGACACATCGGCCCCTGCGCGTAGTAGACGCCCTCGCGAGACATAAGCCCCTCCATGCCCTGCTCCCTCCAAGAAGTCGCCGTCGCCGGGTGTTCATGTAGGAAGTACCTCCCAGCATCATGCTGCTTGTTGTGCGCCTTGATCGCAACTTGCAGCCCTTCACGTCCTTCTCGAAGTCTCTCGGCCCTGACCTTCTCGTCGGTCGTGGTCCTGTTCAGGTACTGCAGCTGGCTGAACGGGTCGCACCTCGGGCTTCCCGTGAGCAGCCAGGGCTGGTCCCCCTCAATGATATCGCCCAGCTCCGACTGGTCCTCCTTGCGCAGTAGATCCCAGCCGACTCCATCGCTCGGCCTGCACGTAGAGAGATCCACTGCTACTCCAGGTCTGAGCCCATGTCTCTTCGCCGCCTCCGTGAACCTCGGCGGCGAGAAAATCTGCATCACGTCCACTGCTCCCAGATCCACCTCAACATCTTCCTTGCCACCCTCCATGAAGTCCAGCGCGTTCAGCGCCACGAGCTCGTCCTTCAGCTCATCCAGCTCCTGGATGTCCAGGTCGCCCATCTCGTCGAACCTGTACCAGTTCACAAGCTCCTGCATGTACCCCGAGTCCTGACCTCTCATCGGCACCACCAGATCCATGGCCGATATGGGAATATCTGCGTCGACATGTCCCGCTCCAGAGACTCGTGGCACCGTTCCTTCTGCCGGCCCGGCCGTCGCGGCCGGCCCAGCGACGGCGGGAGGCCCATCTGTGGCGGACGGCCCCGCCGATCTCGAAGAACCTCCCTGCAGACGAACTCCCATGACCTCAACGCCCGGCTCCGTGCGCTACTCCTTCGACGGTGGCTCTCCTCCTCCCTCGCTCGGGCCCTTCAAGCCCCGAGTTGGCTTAGCTCTCGAGCCGGGTCGCTCCCCTTCAGGATCTCCAGCTCGCCTCTTCGCCTCGATCACGTCCTGCGGTGCTCGAAGCGTCTCTCGCGGCACCTCTCGTGCCTCTTGCCGTTCTCCGGCGACGCGTCCGTCGCCATCTCCTTCAGCGCGCATCTGTGCGTCTCCTTCACCCGCCGGCGCAGGCTGCGCCGCGGGTCCTGCTGCAGCCTCTCCTGCTGGACCTGCCGGGTGGGCTGCCACCCGCTGCCTGTAGGCGTCCATCCTCGCGCGCCCTTCCAGGCTCCTCTCCAGCAACTCTCAGATCCGCTCTCTGCACTCATCACTGTGCGTCCTCTTCGCCCTGCCGTGGATGGCAATCGACTCACATCCTGGACAGTTGGGCGTTGCAGAATGAGCCTCAATGTCCGCGGTCAAGACATAGAATCTTCTCGGCGCCACCTCTGGCACCCTTTCCCCCACCGGTGGAATCGGAAGGGGCTCTCCTTCACCCTCCTTGTCCGCGGTCACCTTCTTCTCCAGCTTCTTCTCCTTGGCCATCATCTCCCAGGGCGTCCCACACAAGTCATCCCAGCCAGTTCTGTCCCACGCATCCTCGAAAGTCTGCCTCGTCCACGATTTGCCACGAACCACTCCTTTGTTCGTCATGCACAACGTTGCCCCAGTCCGGCCGTGGTGGCCCACGAACCTGCCCTGAGTCACCCTGCTGGCGTAGCTGCTGCCTCCGTCCTCTCCGATGCGGCGGAACCAAACCTTCTCGCCAAACTGCGCCAACGGCTTGCGCCACCGGCGGCCTGTCCTCCTCAGCTCCGAGGTCTTGCCGTCAGGCCCGATCCGCATCTTGCTGATGGCCTGCGCAGCGTACCTGGGCAGCCAGCTCAGGATGGGGTGGTCGTCCTCAACTCTCACCCCTCTCTTCAGCTCCATGGCGACACGCAGCGCGCGACACATCCTCTTGACTTCTCTCACCGCCATCTCCGCCAGACCATTCGCTCGGTGATCTCCTTCAGGCGGCCCCTGAGGCACGATCTCCACACCGACGACGCTCTCCTCAACTTTCTTCTGAAGCGCCTTGGTGGACGCCTCGTTGTCGCACTTGAGGATCAGCCCCCAGCAGCCCAAGTCGCGGACGAAGCCCGCCATGAAGGCCACCGCGTAGGCGTTCACGCCCTTTGCCTCCACACACGTCGCCACCGTATGCCCAAACCTGGTCTCTCGCACCACCAAGATCGGATATGTGTCTGCACCCTCCTGCGTCATGAAGCCGTAGTCGAAGGCCACGATCGGCACCTGAACCTCGCCAGCCTCCGGGTCCAAATCGAACTCCCTGCGATGTTGTGCACCCAATCCTCGTCCTTCACAGCATGCCTTGCACCAAGATCGAAAAACTGCGTGGGCCTGGTCTTCATGCTCCTCGACTTCTCTCGCCGTGGGCATCTTGGGATGTCGTCGACGAGGTACCTCTTGTGCCTCGGCTTCCTCCTCGTCCTTGTCTGCCTCTTCCTGGGCAGGACCTCCTGGCGGAATCTCACCGCCACCAGGTGCTGCTCCCGCCGCAGGTGGGCCCGGGTCTCCCATCGCGGCGTCCTCCAATGGACTTACGGGCGCGACGGCGCCCTGCCCGAGCCGTTTCCCTGGCTCGAGCTCCCCTGCTTGGTCTTCTCGGTCTTGACGGCGATCGCCGAAACCTCCTTCTGCATGTAAAAGTTGTACACATGGTCCTCCAAGTACAGGGGAACCAGGTCGCTGCTGCCATACCAGTCGATGCACTTCGTGATGGCCTTCTCGATCTCCTGGCCAATCTTCGAGTCCTTCGGGATGATCCAACCGCCATCCGCTGTCATGTAGAAGTTCTGCCGGCCATTCGTCGCCATCTTGCCCGCGGAGCACAGCACCTTGTGGACTCCACCGAGCCGGCCTCTCAACGATCGCCAACGGCCATTCTCGTCGTAGCCAAACAATTCCCAGGGCCCGCCATCTGGAATGCACTCGCCGCTCGCCGTCTTGTACAGGCTGCCATTGCCCGAGCTCTCCGGCCCGAAGCCCAGCGGGAATGAGGTCACCCCAGCTCCCGAGTCCAGGTTCATCTTGACCCACTCGTACCCGCTGCCCTCGATCGCACAGATGTCCCCCGGCTTCTCGGGCTTCCACTCCTCGAAGCTGCCCAAAGTCAAAGCACCCATCGACCAGACACCTTCTCCAGTCCAGCCTCCTTCGTCCCAGCTCTGCCCCTCCTGCCATTGCTCGGGCGGTGGCGGCCGCGACTCTCCTCCTGCATTGGCGTCATCCTCAAGACCACTGGCATGATGGCGTCGAGCTTGAGTACCTTTCTTGCCGCTCTTGTCGCCCTTCTTGCCCTTGCCCTTGTCGTCGGTCTTGTCCTCGCCCTCGCCGCCGCCTCGTCCTCCCTTGGACGATGGAGCAGCAGCTCCTCCGTTCCAACCTCCACGGCCTCGACCTTTGGAATCCTTACCCTGGCTGGACTTGCCCTTCTTGCAGTCCCTCGCGAAGCGGTTGCCGCCGCAGTTGTAGCAGCCTCCCATTGGTCCTTTCTTACCCTTCAGCGAAATGATGCCCAGCGCCGAGGTGCCCATTGCATCCGGGTCGCTGGCCTGGTTGCCGCTCGGCTTCTTGTCCCTAATGCGAAGTCCAGTCTTCGCCTCCACATATGTGACCACCTCGAGCCTTGCCTGATCGTCAGTCTGCAATCTGTTGGCATTCATAATCAAGTGCTTCTCCAACTCTTCTGGCACCAACGCCTCGAACCCGGCGAGCTTCAGCTCGTCATCCATGACATGGCCAACCTTCTTCTCGTACCGGGAGACGAAGTTCTCCCAGCGCTCGATCGACGCCTGCAGATCGTCAATCTTGCTCCTCCCTGGATTCAAGATCGTTCGGAGGAGATTCCTCTTGCGGCCTCCCGTCGCGGGATCAAACCGCTTCTGAAGTCGGCGCCAAGCCTCGTAGGGACTCTTCTTTGAATTCTTCACGATGCTCAACGACTCGCCCTCCGTCAGCTGCATCAGCGCCGTGTACAGCTGGTGGCCGATCGCCTCCAGCTGCGGGGCCCTCCTGTCCGGGTCGATCTGGTCCTCTCCGAACTCAGCCCTGATCATGTCCACGTCGATCTCGCCACCTTGATCCGCACTCCACTCAAGAAGGCGCTCCGCCTCTGGGAACACGCCGCTGAAGAATGATTCCGCCTTCTGCGCCCAACTCTGAAACTCGTCTTCCTTGTTGTTGAAGACCTTAGGCCTGCCCAGGCCCCTCGTGTCCACCAGCGTCGGCCGCTCACGATGCGCCTGGGCCTGGGCCAGCTCCCTGATGGCGGCCACCGCGTCCGCCATCTCCTCTCCAACTGGTTGTTGCTGCTGGATCGCCAGCAACTGCTGCGTCAGCTGTGCGACTTGCCCTTGCAACTGCTGGACAACCTGCTCCATGTTGTCTGGACTCCTTCACCCTGCTCGGTGCTGTTGGAGGCGTGGTAAGCCCCCCTTGTGTCGGGCTCCTCCGTCCGACTCTCACGCGCCAGGAGTCCCGCTTCACGCTACCATGAAGATAGAATATCCCATTGTAGATCGATGATCTCTCAAGAAGCGCACAAGCTTCCTCGGGCCAAAATGGCCTGCGGGTCATGATCCCTATCGAGATGCTTCTCATGAGCCTACCCTGCACTCTGCAACAGACAGGCACTCCCTGAACCTAGCTCACACCACTACTCCTGCAACACCGTGCTGGTCCACACCCGATCGGGAATTAAACAAACCAAGAACAAAAAACTAACAACAACAACAACAACAACAACAACAACAACAACAACAACAACAACAACACACACAAAAAAAAAAAAAAAAAAAAAAAACGCGGGCGGAAGCGCCGGCGGCGAGCAGTCACGGTCGGGCTGCGGCCGTGACGAATTCCCGGGCGCGCGCGGGGGCCGCGGATCAGGCGGCGGGGCAGGCAGCAACCCAGGGCGCCTGAGAGGCCAGGCGGTCGTGCAAGCTGCAACCCAGGGAGTCTGAGGGGTCAGTCACCCAAGGCGGTCGTGCAAGCTGCAACCCAGGGAGTCTGAGGGGTCAGTCACCCAGGAAGCAAGGCAGGCGCGGCCAAAATGGCGCGCCGTACGTTCCCAGTCGTGGTCGTGACAAGCGACAACCGCGTGGTAGGGAACCAACCTCCGTGCGAGAAAGTCAGCCCAGGGAGTCTGACGGGCATGAGCAGACCGAAGGCTGGCTGACGTCGACCAGCAAGGAGGGGGATTCTGACAGCGCCAGCGAACCGTCGCAGCTTCAGAAAACGCATCCGCGGCTGAAAGGGAGAGCCTGAGGCCAAGGCAACTAAGGCAAACGCCAAACAACTGCAGAGAGATGCGCCTGCACGCAGGAGACCAGAGATCTAGTGTGCCGCAGTGCGGGAGTACACGAGTACCCACCAGGTGAGGGACACACGGTCAATCGGAAGTGGGCGTGCACCAAACGACTAAGTGACGGCCAGCGCCTTGCAACCCACGCAGCCAGGTCGAGGAAAGCGCTCGAAGGACAGAGACTGTCGTATACCCAAGACAGCAAGCCCTTCACGGTCACAGAGTCCCAGGGAGTGGTCGCACAACGAAGTGCGCGTGGGAGCGACGAAGGGGAGACCGAGTGCCCGTCATACGCCGAGACCGTGCAGCGCAGTCCACAGGGTGGTAACGCAAGGCAACAGTGGGAGGCAGCACTGAACGGGGTCACGTCATCGGCCCAGTCAGAGTA